AGGGCCTCAATCTGTTGACTCCGGTGGAGGTTAGTCGCCCGCTAGAGACTCAGATTGAGAGGGTCTGGAGACCTTTAGTCGAGACTTCAGGCTAATTGAGAACCTTCCGCAGTATAACTTTCATGAAAACTGAACTTGGTAAAATGCAATCCGACTTAACTGCAGTCTAGGGGGAAACCATATCCGGGTGACCTCTCTTGACTTGACAACAAACCGTTTACCTGCTTTGTGTTTTGTTTGCTTCAGTTTCACTAAAAGTTCACTGCTAAATAACAAGAATTCACCGAGTAGTCATCACATCTAGGACCCGGGTTGACATTAAAACCCGACCCGCTATACTACGCTTTAGGAATTGGTTATACTTGGCCATTTTCTAGGGTGACAGTAGGAGTGAGTCATCTGCCCAAAGGAAGATCAGGAGAAGACGGCTTTCATGACCCCATGGGTAATTTCTGTTGGGATTTTTTTGATTGTTACTTGTGATTCACCCTTTTACCCACTATTAGTGATTGTGAGTTTTTTACAATTGAACTCGGGTCTAATTGTGTTTTACTAGAAGACAAGCAGAGACTTGTGGGGGAATTTGATACACTTAGAAAATACACATATTTATTCCCATATTTAGTATCGAATTAGCTTGTTATGTGAAAGAAGTTCGGTTGTTTTTCTAGTTTTACGCTTGGTTTTGTGTGTTTCGATATTTCGGGATATTTAGAAATATGTGGAAGAGAATGAATTAACTCGTCTTAAAGCATGATTGAAAATGAAATTACGACCGAACCTTGTAAAGAGAGGAATTACGGACGTATGCATCCGGTTATGGAAGAAAGTCCTTGTGCATATTTGTCCCGATGAATCCAACTACTAGGTATGCATGGACCGAAGCAAGCAAGCGAGCTGGTGAAGCATGTTCCTGGTCATGGTCATGGTCGGGATGGGTTGCGTTGCTAACCCCTCAAGAGATTAGCACCATCCTAACCTGTGTAATAGCCATTAGATTAAGATGTTGATCCTAAGGTCACAATTAAGTGAAGGATATTTTAGTAATGTTATATCAAACCCTAATATAAAAAAAGCTCCTTTCACCACCCCTCTCACCCACGACCGCCTTTCCATTTTCCCCTCTTTCTACACCAACCGTCTCTACTCTCTCCCTTTTTATCCATCTCGGCGCACGGTTCGGCGACGGGGAGGAAGTGGCGCTCAAATAGATATGCGATGGAGGCAGGTGGCGACGGGGAAGAAAGGTGGCAGGAGATGTCGATAGAGGAGGTAGGCGGCGATGATAGCGATGGAGGAGTCTCCCCATGATTTGTCGACTCTCTCTTTCAATTTTTGGTATTGAGGTCATCGCCAAGACTATTGTGAAATGCAAAAAGGTATATATACCAGAGGGAATAACGGATCGGTATAACCCTTGAACAGATCCGACACCAGATCTAGGCTCTCTGCCTCGCCTCTATGTTCAAGATCCAGATTTACAATCATCTACTCAACCGCTCACAACTCAACCCTTGTCGTCGCCTCCCTCCTTCCACCTCAAGTGCGCCTCCCACCATCAATGTAGTTTACGGTAGTGATTTTGTATGGTGATTGAAGGAGAGGAGACATCTCAAGTTCTTGTCATTGGTAATCGTTAATTTGACGAATTGGAGGTTGAGAGACGACTATTAATAGTGATAGAATGATCTATGTATAATTAAATCACACTCTTGGTGGTTTAGGTTCGTGTAGTAGTGAATGAGATAGTCTAGCTTATATTTCGGTATTGATCGGTATTTCGCTATATACCACTCCCAATCTCGTAATCCGTAATAGCGAATAACAATTGAAATTCAATCTCAATCCCAATTCCAAAACATAATACGTGTATTCGGTAATACCAAATATAGACAAATTCGGTAGGGTATTCGGTATATCCCAAATACCGGTACCAAACTTCCAGCCCTACCTACCTGTGTTAGTAGTGATTGACCATTTGTTGTAGTCATTTTTTCTCTCTTCATAGTATGTTTTATAATGTATGGTAGTGATTTTTATTAAAAATTGTTAGTCGCTACAAATTAAAAATAATTTAAAACACTACTAGTTACATGAAAATCACTATGAGTTTATGACCCTCCAAAAGCACTACTATCAGCCTCCAAAAGTGAAAAAATCCGTCTATATTAATTAAAAAATTTACAATCACTAATATTATCCTAATATCACTACTATTAGCCAAAATAATTATTGATTTAAATACTAATGAATTTATTAGTAATAATTCCGGTAGAAAATGACTAATAAACAGGGGAGAGATAAAAGAGATTTTATATTTTTATGTATGTATACTTTTTTATTTAGTGAAATACCAAACAAGCCCTTCATTATTAATCACCGTCAAATTAAACTTAAAATAATAAACTGTGATTAGAGTAGTTAGTACATAGTAATTAGCACTCTAACCTCTCCCGGTCATGGTCATGGTCATGTGGACACTACAGCTTGGTTGAATTAAATGGACCAGCTTGGTCTCCACAAATGCAACCTCGCAGCTGAAGCTAGCTGGTCAATTTTACACGCATGAATACAACCAACCTATATTCGGGTGGGTGAGTATAGAATTAGGATTGTCCGACTCAATTGGTTGTGGTCATTCATTTTTTCAATACTATTTTAAGTGACGAGGCGTGATGACTGGACGAAATTACTGTTTTTTGGATGGAGATGGACGGAATGACCATTCTGTTATTCTGTCAAACGTATGTTACGGAAACATGCAAAATAAGAGGTTTGTGACCTTTTGTACAAAATGAATAGTTTTGTAACCTTTTATGCTAATTACCCATGTGCAAAATAGAACATGAGGTGGTGAGTTATCATCTCTCATGAAATGAAAAGTGGGAAATAAATGAATGGGTTAATTGCATGGTTGGTCACTGAAATTACAAAAAGCGTTCATATTTGGTCACTATAAATATTTAAATCCACTTTTGATCACTAACTTTACAAAAACTGTTCATTTATGGTCACTCTCCGTTAGCTGCCGTCCAACGCCATTAACGGCGTCCGTTAAGTGATGACGTGGCTGACGGATTTGCCTAATCAGTACTTTTTAACCCCAAAATTGACTGACCCGACCCGCCACGTCATTTAAACCTGCCATGTCAGCTAAACCTAACCAAACCTCTACCCAAACCCGACCAGACTTGCTAACTAAAACCAAACCAAACCAGACCCCCAAAATTGTTTGACTAAAACCCTAATCAAGAACAGAAATGAACCTTACCGAATTTAACTTTCAATGCACAGAGCTACGAGGATGAGCCATTTCCAGGGAGTCAGTACTCGATGCCGGCCAAATCAAGAACAGCATCAGAAAGCTGGGACGAATGCGGCGTAGAAGGAGGTGGAGGGACAATGAGCTACGAGACCGTTTTGTCTGATTTCAAGAAGGAGAAAGGGATCCACTCCGTCGACGATCAGAAATCCGTCACCGGACCCTGCATCAACAACATCACAGTTCTCCATAGTTCCCCCAGCGGTGGAGTAACAACAACGATGACAGCAGCAGAACTCTACAAATCAAGCAGAGGACTAAACTTTGCAGACTTCAAATCGTCATCCTCCTGCAACAACCGCTCCCGCGCAATAGCAGACTTCGAAGCTCAGAATCGAAAGAGCAAGATCCATTCCAACATCGTAGTTCCATTGACTGATTCCCACGCTTCCGTCCAGTCTCAGCCGAGGAGCAAAGGAATGATGTCGTGGCTGTTTCCGAAGCTGAGGACGAAGCCCACGAAGAACGTAGCTACCACTTCGCCGGTGAGAACAGAGTCCGAGGAGGTCTCGCAGGCATTCGGGGAACTGGGTTTGCTGTCGATCGAGAATTTGCGGAGGGAGTTGAGGGAATCGAATGAAACTAGGGACGCAACATTGACAGAAGTCGCGGAGACGAGAGCTTCGTTAGGCCCACTGAGGCAAAAGATCGAACACCTGGAGGGCTACTGCGAGGAGCTTAAGAAGGCTCTGAAATCCGCCACGAGATCCAAAGGGCGAGCCAAATTAATCGATGGGTACTCACAAAACAACAACTCGAATCATCATCCATCCATTCTCCCAGTGACCGACGAAGCAATGGTGGAAGGGTTCCTCCAAATGGTGGCCGAATCCAGACTCTCAGTCAAACAATTCTGCAAAGCCCTAATCTTCCAAATCGAAGACGCGGCCGATTCCCCACTCATCGAAACCCTGCTCTCCGTGCATTCCAACCACTCCAAAACCATCCTCCACCACCTGGAATCCATAATCAACGACACGATGCACCAGGACTTCGAACTCGGCGTTCCACAACAACGGCGCGCCGAAGCACCTGGACCCGCAGCAGGATCGGTTTGGTTTGGTTTTAGTTAGCGGGTCTGGTCGGGTTTGGGTAGAGGTTTGGTTAGGTTTAGCTGACATGGCGGGTTTAAATGACGTGGCGGGTCGGGTCAGTCAATTTTGGAGTTAAAAAGTGCTGATTAGGCAAATCCGTCAGCCACGTCATCACTTAACGGACGTCGTTAACGGCGTTGGACGGCAGCTAACGGAGAGTGACCATAAATGAACGGTTTTTGTAAAGTTAGTGACCAAACGTGGATTTAAATATTTATAGTGACCAAATATGAACGCTTTTTGTAATTTCAGTGACCAACCATGCAATTAACCCATAAATGAATTGTCACATTGCTTCTCTTGATCTCTTCCACGTGGGTTGAGTGAAAATGGGAGAGGAAATGAGTGTCGTGCTTAGGGGTGGTGAGATGGAAAAGAAAGAGAGGAAAGGTTCTATCAAAGGGAAGCATCGTTTGACGCAAACAGTGAAACACAATGTGGAACTAGCAACGCTTTCAGAACCACTAGGTCTTCCGATTGCCGGAGTAGGTTTATAAAAACGCCCCAATGGTTGACTCACAAATGAACAAGGAGCCTGCAGTCACCTAATAACCCGCATACACGCAATTGGACATATGGAAGAGAAGAGAACGAAGAGCTGGTAAAGAGTCGGTCGCTGGTGGAATTCGAATACCCATCTCCAAATGCATCAGGGCAAGTTCAAATGTGTCGCTCGTGCATACATACAGTGCAAGTAGATGCTACGGTATATGGAGCAAGAGAAGCGTCTCAGGTAATATAATGGTTTTCAACCGGATTTCACGGCTCAGAAACTCAGAAACTACTTCAACCTGCAATATTGTAGAGTTCATGTTATTTGTTACAAGGCAACAGTTCTACACCTTCAAGTCTGTATTCAAGAAATTCAACAAAACCACAAAACGACGGAACACTTGAATGGCATTTCCACCGGAGTAACAAACAGCCATCAAAACCTGTCCAACAAAAAGTGCTTCCAATTCAAATTTCTTCAAAGGTCTTGCACGCTCAAACCTGCAACAAACACAACAAAACAAATACCATCAGCCACTGACCAACTTATGCACTTTAAGTGAGATGGATTGAGTGAGCAAAACCCAGCAAGAGTCCATCTGAATCAAAGTAATCATCCACACTGTACACTAAATAGCTATAGTAAAAGGTGAAAAGAATCATTACCTGGGGGGAAGAGACTGCTTCAACTTGTCAGCCTTCTCGGAGTCAAAAACACACAAGGTGTAGAGGTACTTGGAGCAGCGGACCTTGAACTTCACCACGTCTTTGCTCCTCTTGATCTTCACCGAACGGGCATCCTTCCTCCTAGCTGTGAGGAGAAAATCCTTGATCTCGTGAATCTGCTTCGGCTGTGCAACACAAGCAGAAGAGTAAATACCAAACCAAGCACCCAGATGGCGACAAAGACAATTATAAACAATGATACAAGCTCAAAATGACAAACAGTATATCAAATTCAATAGGTGAGAACTTAGATCACCAACTATAGAAATGATTTAGCACCCAGATGTAACAGAGGCTATCAGCTCTAGGCAGGTTATGCCATTGGATAGATCTGTAACGATGAGTGCCAACTTTCATCTCCCAGACTCGTAACAGTATCAACCAAAATACATTAAGGTCGCTACCTGACTAGAGTATGGGGATTTCAAGCGAACCCTAAACACTAGAAATCCTAACCTAATCTTTCAACTTCTGTTAGTTTGGGAGACCCAAACGAGTAAAATAGATCAACACCAGGGTGATAAATTTCCTCAAAAACAATCAAGTTCTCAGAAACATCAATAGAAGAATTAAAAGAAAAAATGGCTACCTCGCATTAAGCCTAAACCGAGAGTAGCATCAAATGCTAAAACCAACCTTTGCTCCGTTAAAATATCAAACCAAATACCCTAAACCAACGAGGCACAATGTAACCCTGCAGCTAGGATTAGAATAACAATTGGCGAAAGTATTAACTATTTAGCACCTAGATGTAGCAGAGGCTATCAGTTCCAGGCAGGTTATGCAATGGGATAGTTCTGTAACGATGGGCGCCAACCTCCATTTTCCAGTCTCGTAACAGTATCAACCGGAATCATCAAGATCGACACCTGACTATAATCTCGGGTTTCATTCTGATCCTAAACCTAATCCTTCTAGCATTCGTATTCTGAGATCCCAATAGCTATTACAGCAGTAGTTCTCTGATGTCGTCTAGCGACTACAGGTACATAACAAAACACAGAACGGAAAAAAAAACTACTCCAACTAGGCACATCCGCCCAATAACCGTCAGAAAATCATGAAACAGACAGAAGACTGCTAATTTGAGAGTAGTTGATAAGCCTTTACCATTATGTTCGCCGAGGAGCTTCCTTGCTGCTGCTTCTGCTCCTGCTCCGGTTGAGGAAGGAAACGATAGGAACATAGAAGTTGCTAAGGGTTAAGATTATATACTACCGACATTGGACTAAACCCTAAAGGCCTAAATATTGGACCTTAAATCTTTATTTTGGGCCTTATTCGTTCTGGGCCTATTTGCCGCAAATCGTCCGTGTTATGGGCCGTCGGTGGAAGTTAAGCTCGGGTTTAATTAGTCGACTGAAGCTGCTCCGATCGCAACCAATATCCCATCAAATCAAGATCAACACAATATATAACTACTAGCGTCCGGCCCGGCCCGTTGGCCGGGTATTTAATTATTAAGTATTTTATTTGTGTTGCTAATTGTATATATATCATATACACATTAATTAGCAATATATATGTTCACAAAGAAATCATTTATCATATTTGTTGATCACGACATAGGTTATAGATATGATATTGTATGATTTGATAGGGCACATTGCATAGTGATAATCACAAATGAAAGACCAAATTGCTAGTTCCAAATCTTATATTTTGCTTGGCAAGTTCCAAATTCACTTCATAAGCACATAATATTATGGGCATAAGTCAAGTACTTCAATAAACTGAAAGCTAAATATCATGAAAATCTTATGATTCCACGATGACTGAAAGAGACAGATTTTTTAAATCTCGCACCAAAAGAAAAGTTTGATAACATATTCAACAAAATTGTTGTAATCCTTCCCACAATAGGTCAAAGAGCCAGACTTCTCCCAATTTCAAAAGTTCATCTCCAAATTTAATTGTTACACACCTAACCCCCAAAATTGAATTGGAACTACGATATAGTTAGCTTATATAGCTAAAAACAAAATACAAATGCTATTGCAATTGCAATTGCAATTAATCTCACCTAAAAAGGCTGAATGCATCTAGGAGTTGGGAAAGAGAATTCGACCAACAGAGACTCCAGTAGATTAGAAAGAAGGGGAAAATGTCACTCACATACTCAAATTCGGCAGAAGAAAAGGGGAAACGAAAGGAATTAATTTATGGGTCAATGGGGATAAGGAAGCATAGTAACACGGAAAGCAGGTCGTTTATTAACCATTATGCTTTTTGTTTTGTGAGGATAACAGTAAACAAAACCTCAACAAAGGAAACTACCATTTTGTGAAGAAAAAACAATATGTTTAGCTGAGAATTCTAGAGGCTTTTGAAAATTAAACCTGAAAACAAAAACCTTGTTTAGTAACAATTTTTATGATTTGACCGGAAAAAGCTCTTTTCGATGTCAACTTCGGTATGATTTTACAAAATGTGTACAAAATTAATATATGTAATGAAAATATATAGATAATAAATTGAATCAATCTAAATCAGAAACAATTGTCAAAATAGGTAAACCCAACTTTTTATGCGAGGTTAAACTACCTTTTGGGAAGAAGTTACATAAAATTTGAAAGTAATTAACTACTAAATTTCAATTACCTGATTATACACATACATATGTATTCTATTTAAATTATCGTAATTTTTAACATATTTGATATTTATTATACATATATAGTAGTTCACGTATTTATATTAATTCAAACTTTTTTTGTTCATTCTATTGATCTATTGTCGTATTTTTTTACACGTATGCAATGTCAGTATATGTGTAAATGTTAGCATGTTCGTTGGAGTTATAAAGTAAATTATTACCCATGGATCACCGTAGATATGAAAACCCGATAATGTATGGGCACGATTTTGATTGTCTACCCAATTTTTTGTGGTATGGGTAAAATACAAACTATGTTAGATAGGATAATTGATATTGTCGCAAACTGACCTCGAAACAGGGGTTGCTCGTGTTCTTTTCAGAGTCCCCATCGAACTTAGCTTGTAGTTGTTTTGGTATGATCTTAACGTTAGGGTGAAAACCAAAACATGATCTATGAACTCAAGTTATAACTTCGAGAGTACAGTTATGTGTGGAGAAATGTATTCACACCATGTAGCGACATAAATTGGTACTTTTTAAATTGATTTTTTTTTAAATTTTAAGTGCATCATTACCTTACTTATTTAATTAGGCTAATTTAGGATTAGATAATATATATTTTTAAAAGGAAAGAGATTTGAGACTTTAAAAATCCCAAATGGATCTATGAATTTGGGCCATCTCCCGTTTGCGGTCGTGGCAATTAAGATGCTTCCTAGACTAAAGTACTAAACGCACCGACCCATTTAATTGTGTCATTGTTAAAGGACTGTAACATCCTTTTGTGATTAATGAAAAGGCAGCAAATTCAAAATGGGAGAAATCCAACCTATAAATTTGCTTTATGCATTTTATAGATTAACCGATCTTATATTGATTAAGTGCCATATTGGTATTTTTTTTTATAAAGCCATTTTTGTATTGTTGATCTTGTAGGTGGTAAGTAATTCTGTATTATGATATAGTTATTAATTATTAAGCTAAACCCAGCAATCACGTGGGCAAAATTTAAAGCCCATCCATGTAAAAGTAAAATAACTTGTATGAGAAAGGAAAAAATTCTAAAACATTGGCTTAAAAAATCAAAACTCGTTAATGTAGAAAAAAATAGCGACTTTTCCACCAAAAACAAAATAGCTACTTATGTTTTAGCGGTGTAGTGGGTTAGTGGGTCCAATAAAGAAGGGAAAAAGAGCCAAAACTTCGTAGGCCACTTAGACGAATTGGGGGGGGGGGGGGGGGACAAATTTTAGTGGCTAAAATAGTTGAGACGAATGGACAAATTAACCCCTCCGAAATGTGTGGTATGAGCAGCGGTGGCTGATGTGGCAACATCTATTTTTTAACATTGGCTTATAGGTATGTGTAGATCATTCGTCCCCCGGCCCGTTGGCCGGTATAGTATAGAACCTCAATATTTATTGTGTTGTAGTCTATGCATATTGGAGTGCAACGAAAAAGATATTAAGCAATAAAGTGGAAGTCCAAATTGTATGGATGCCTTTGCATTCTCATTAGTGAGTGATTTCATTGTTAATAAGTCTTTCAGAAGTAGAATCTTTCATGCTAAAACTATTCATTTTCCAAACAGGGAGTAGATTTTGTTGGGGACGTCCCCAGTAAGCAACTCACAAAACCTGTTTTAGGCAAGCTACATTCCATGGTACTGTATGTTTCTTGTATTCCACAATGCACATCCTAGACAAAACACCCTACTGATAATACATTTCCACAATGCACATCTTAAAATAACGACCCGGCTGCTAATGAGTTCCACAATGCACATCTTTATAAAAACATCCTACTGTTAAAGCTGTAGCAAAAACAGTTCATATTTGTAAGTGTTTTCCGGCGAGGAAAAACTTGTGTTTGAACACAATCAATGCACCTTTCGACTTCTTGAACAACGATAATTACACGGTCCACTTCTCTCCGAACAATGTTCGAACGAGGGTGTTTGATGGTTTTTTGGGAACAAGCTACGTTACTCTACTCCTATGGAGGTTCAGTGAGAGCTCCGAAAACTAAAAGGCAAGTTGCAGAGAAAAGATAAATTTTGACATAGTGTGTCAAATGGTTGGTTGTGGAACCCTTGCTTCTTCTTCGTTTCTTCTATTTATAGCCACTAGGTGTAACTGCCTTGGTAACCGCCTTGGTAACTGCTAGCTGGCCTCTTGCTCCAAACCGCATCGGGGTCCTTGTCGCCGCCTTGGTGACTAGTTGGTAACCGTCGCCTTGAGGCCCTTGTCCCGTCTTGGGGTTGGTGGGTACTTGATGGCTTCGATGCCGGGTCGGGTTGGTGTTGAGCCTTGTCGCCTTGTCATAACTGGATGGGGTTGAGGCTCCTGCCTTATCCTCCATGAACCATGATGAGGTCTTCCGCTCCCACCTCATGACACCGAGTCCTTCTCATTAACTTGTTGATTGTCACCAAGCCGTCTCATCGGCTTGATACCTTCTGGCATGCCACCAAGCCTATGTAATCAACTTGACACCCCTTGCTACCAAGCCAGCCCTGGTGACTTG